TATATATACTAATGATCATGTTTCGAGTACAATTTTTATTACTGCTACTCAGAATCATATGAACGCACTACTCACACAACTTTCTCACTTCGTTTATTTCCATTTCCACCACTTCTCTCTCATCTATTGATTTCATGATAGGTAGTAGTAGTAGTAGTAGTAGGAGTAGTAGCAGCAGCACTTTCCATATCCCTGGTATTTACTAAAGTGATGAATCAGAAAATGAACAAGGAGAAGTAGCCATGATGTTACATTGTAAAATATAAAAACGAACAGAAGAAGGTAAGCTATATACACTAGTGCTTATGAAAAGTCAACACACTAGTAGATATTTAGACTTTAACTCATATCTCATCTCTTATTCTCAAAGGCAGACTTAGTTATAAGTGTCCAACAAACCAAGCAATAACAACACCAAGTAGGACATCAACAAACACCGAAATGATGTCATGAAACAGAAGAACAAGAACAACAAGAAGGAGCGTTGGTGTTATATTATACAACTATCCTATAAAATTCATTACGAAGATAAAAACACGTCAACAGCAACATAAAAAATTACGGTGAAACGAATAGTGATAACATGTAAAAGAAAAACTATAAGGCATCTACAGTCGTTTTACCATACAAGGAGGAGACATCTAAGACGCGACGTGTAGGACTCCTTTTGAAGCAGGTATCAGGGTGGTGGCATCTAAACGTACAAATTCACTCACTCACTCACTCAGGTTGGACAATCTCTGCGGATAAGTTAAAGGACTCTGTAGGTTGACACAATCACACAAAATAATATCAATATACAAATACCTTGCTGCATTGACTGACTGTGGGTTAAGTCGACTAACTGCATAGGTCAGTCAGTCAAACCAGTAGATCCTGGGTGGAAGTCAGGTTGTCAGAACATAAGAATTTAATAGCTACGGTTAGAATGATTCATCCCGAGAAGATAAGTAATTTAGAAAGAAGAAAACTCAGAAATTGCACTACATGCATTAACACACAATTAACCACAAAATACCGCGGTAGTGGTAGTATACGTAGATGGAGAGAGAGAGAGAGAGAGGGAGGGAGAGAGGTTGACCACTGACTGAATCTTTTTTCATCGAATAACCTACAGCCAACACAAGACATACAATAAGAATCACTCATCGACACTAGTACCAGTGATTTTAGAAAATACTAAAAATACTACCAATCAAATGAAGAGATGAGAAATAATGGAATTATACATAAACGAAGTGAGACAGTTGTGTGGGTAGTGCCTCAGCAGCAGTAATAAAAGTTGTGCTCGAAACTTCGTCATCAGTAAACAGTTACTGTGCAACACGCTGTAGAACTTCATCAAAATAAAGAATTTCTCCACTATGGAATTATACTCTACACCACGGTGACCAAGTTGTTCTGTTCTTATATCAATTGCAGAACGCTCACTAAAAGTAAGCAGTTTACAGCAACACGTAAATAAAATGAAAAGTAACAGAACCCAGTGTGTCAGTTGCATTAAAGACCAATAACCAAACAATCCAGAATTAAAAGTAACACTGTAGTAGGTGAGGGGGGAGGGAAACGGCAAATGAAAACCGTAAAATAACTATTTAAAACAAGAGTTCAGGTATTTTACTTACTCGTAATCCTTGCCATGGAAGACTGCCTCGAAGGAAATACATCAGCACATAACCCAAAGATTCCATATCATCTCTTCGTGATTGTTCTATACCAGCATGTGAATTTAGACTGGCGTATCGAGCTGTACCAATAAGCGACTTGTCTTCTCTGTATATAATATGCCGACGTGTTCTGTGATCTCTGTGATAAACAAACAAAGCATTATTACATACAAAATAGACAATTGAAGAAACCCAGCTAACTCTACCCCCGATTATCACGTTACATAGGATGATTCTAAGCGAAATATAAGATAGTCAATAATAACCAGCGTTAGTAAATAAACTCCTATCCATTTTTTATTTTTTAAATTTTTTTTTTGATTATAGCTTGATTCCACACCGTATTTTCGGTACAAGTATGGATGGAATTTTCAGCATGGATATCGGTAGCCCAAATTTTGCAGGCCGACCATGGATATCAGGTGTGCGTCGGCGTGCGCTCGAACCCCGGACCATGTGCATGGTCGGCGAGAGTCCAGAACAATAATGGTTCAAGTATCGCGAATCTCACCCCACCCCACCCAAATAAATGGCCGGAGATTAAATGAGAAAAAGAAGACATCAACAGCGAAAAGTATTTTCTTTTCGACGATTCAGTTTTATAAGATAATAAAATTCACTAAAATTACAGTAAGAACGTTACTTTGGCCACGGTGGTACGAGTAAATGTATGTAGTGCTTTTAAACGCAGAGGTCAGCTTTCAGATCCTGAGCAACTAGTGAGTGATTCGGCAAAAATATATATATGGCGTTCCCGAAGTCTTTTCATATGATATTCAGGAACTCTGTAAAGCACTGTGAAGCACTCATGGGTGAGGTGGGGCTGCTCGATGTCCAGAGTTGACAAAATGTTCGAGGATAGAATTGATTGCATATATACATCATCTCCTTTGAATGGCACAATAGTATTGAGTATTGATATTGATATGGCACATTGAGTTCTACCGAAATTTGATGAATTCAAAAAATCCTGTTTTTATTAACCTTTGTCGCTTGTTTTAAATCCATATCAGCAAAATAATGTTTCCAGTATTACGCTTCCACACACCCCCACTCAACCCACAATCATGGCAACTACTGTTAATGTTAGTTCTCCTCGACTGACGTTTCTGGTATAGTGTGAATCAGTAGACATCAGAGCTTCTTTACGGTTAGTTTTGGGTACACCTCATTTGAAAAAACAAAATAACCAGATATATTTTTGCACCATTCAGCAGTGACACATGGTCAACTAAGGTAAGGTAAGTATGAAGTTATCTACGTGTCTACCAACGAATGACTGACTGATTGGTTTCAATAAAAAACTTTGTACATCACAGATGTGCACCACTTCGAGGTTTAAAAGACAGAAAATTAACAGAAATGTGAAGGGAAAAGAATAGTCTTACTATATATGACAAATCACAAAGAGTGAATGCATATGTGCCATCATCGAGAACGACAACTTCAAGTCAACCATATCACCAATTATCTCCAGTCACCATTGGTCCTTACCTTCATCCCTAGGACCACAACCAACCAGTCAGGAAGCCAGTTCACACCTCCTTACTTGCCTCGATGGCTTAAACTAACTGTTGTGAACGATTTAATTGATTGATGAAGCCAGCCATGTTTTGGTTTGACCACCACTACGCACTAGCTAGCTAACTAGCTGTTTTCCAACCTTATCCATCTTATTTCAGCTGAGCTAACATTGTCCATCGGTCGAGGAGGGAGATGTCTGGGAATACATGCATAATACATATCCCAACCATCTCACTCATTCGATGTGACTGATTCACTACCTCATCGTCGATTGATTATCCCTACTCCTCCTCCTTACCTAGAACGCGACTGATACCTCACCACCTCAATACTACTCGCCATATTACTTCAGGAAAAACACAGGGACTCTACAACTAAACAGAAGATATACTTTGATAGCACAGCATTGAGTAAGTAGTATCATGTATCTAGCCCTTTGTTTGATTCGGACTAAATTCTCTCAAAATATCCAATTCAGTGCTAGAAAAAGTCAATAGCGAACCCGAATAGCTCAGCGGTGTAACGTTTCTGACTGCTGCACTCACACTGGGTGAATTGGGTTCGAATCTCAGAAGGGACATGAATTCCATGAATGTTGCTGATACGCCTTGCAGGTGACGGCTAAATAGCACGAAAACCAGGTCGAACAAGGCTTTCTGCCGATTGGCTCCAACCATCTGATATCAAATACGGTAACAACACAGTAATAAACTCACCAAACAGTACTATAATAAATTAATAAGCAAGATCAGTTTCGCAGGTGAAAGCAACCAGAAGCTCGTATCTGCACAGCATGGGTTCATTATATTTTCCTTGCTGACACACTTTAATTAGTTAGGCCTCAATAACTGAGACATACTAATGGGTAACAGGCCATAGGTAAGAAAGACCTAAGGACAATATATATAATATATCAGATAACCAGGTCTTTATCCAAGAACAGATTAGCACAGATGAAACCAATGACAGATAGTGAGAGAAATCACCTAATTAACATGAAGGAGAAGCATAGAATTCGCTCAGCTGACCACTTCAAAGGACTTTGAAACTGACTACCACCCACAACTCCTCCAGAAGTGACACCAACAGCAGGCACAGAACTGTCAGTGAGTGAACACTAATCGCCCCAACAAAGGCAGGAGTCTTAATTGACATGTACATCGGTGGCACAGTGGTTAGGACTCTCGCCGACCATGCACATGGTCCGAGGTTCGATCCCCTGACGACGCACACCCGATATGGTCGGCCTGCGAAATTTGGACTACCGATATCACATGCTGAAAATTTCATACTTGTACCAAAAATACGGTGTGGAATCAAGCTGTAATCAAAAAAATAAAAATACTAAATAGCGGTCATGAAGGCAGTAAGACCAGATGGAATTCCTCTGAAAGCAGTTAAAACGGATTCGAACACCACAGCGGATATCCTCACGCCACTATTGAAGAAGGCCTAGATGCAAGTAAAGATATCTACTAATGGAGGAAAGGTTACCTTATCAAAAAACCAAAGAGGAGAGACTTGAGCCATCACAAAAACTGGCACAGAACCATGCTCCTGTCAATGCCGGGCGAAATATTAAATCGTGTAGACCAGTAGAGACTTAAAGATTCTCATGACACAAAACTCCTCCTAAAACTAGGTAAATTCAGGAGAAGCAAACTATATGCGCACCGAATTGCAATACTACGCATCATAATCGAACAAAGCAGAGAATGGCAGTGAACTTTCTGCCTCATTGTTACCGACTCTGAGAAGACTTTTGACAGCATTAACCACAAAACTGCGGGGTGCAGTGTCCCGAGCTTTAATCAACCTACTCAACACTATATAACAGTGTCACATATAAATGAAGCACAATGGAAGATTCAGAGAAGCGTTTGAGGCAAAAATATTAGTGAGGAAAGGCCACGCACTATCACCGATGATATTCCTGAGCGTGGTGGACTGGACCATGCAACAGACCGTGGGGAACAAGAAGATAGGAACACGTTGGACCGACGAGAAGAAAATTGTTGGTCTGGACTTTTCAGATGATTCATGTTTAATGTCCTACAAACTCGAAGGTCTATATGAGAAAACCAACAAATTGGCAGAAGTAGCGAAGACGGGACTTCAAGTGAACAAAGGAGGAAGAGAGGTGGTGAAGACAACCAACCTACAACCATAATCACTATCAACGGAAAGATTTTCAATGAGGTAGGTTCTCCCACTTATTTAGGCAGCATTGTTTCACCACAAGCGAAGGCACAGATGAGGATGTCAAAGACGACACATGCATGCATCACACTGAAATTAGCTTGGAAATATAACGCCATCAGCATACAAAACAAGATTCCGATTTTCAACACTAATCTGAAATCAGTACTTCTACATATGGTTTAGAGACTTGGTGCAAAAGCGTTTCCAACTGACAGCAGACTTCCATCAACAGCTGACGCCTCAGCTTGATACTGAAGACCAGATGATAAGCGATACGGAACTCTGGGACAAACCAACCAAGAAAATATGCCGAAGAAAATTGGAATGGATCAGACAACTGCTGGGGAGACCAATGGATGACATCACGCGCCAGGCCATCGCTCGAGTGGTACCCGAATGGGAAACGACTAGTTCGACGTCCAAGGGCGGCATAGAGGAGATCGTGTGAGGAGGCGATAAGATCATATGGGTGATAGCAGAGGCAGAGAGCTAAAGAGGACAGTAGAGAACATAATGAAATGTAGATTTGCTGCTGAACCACTATGTTTCATCCAGAACCCAAGGGAATAATAATACTACTAGTGGGTAACAAGATTTTATCCCTCTCCAAGATGAATTGACTTGAGCAGTATCACTAACTATTAGAGAATAAATGCGACACACATTCGAATGTAAAAGTTTGCATATCGTTGCTGGGATATAGTTTTTGAGCGTTGACGGTTTTATCTAGTGTCTGGAAGTGGAGGTACAAAGTTGATTATACTTTAAGAAAGGGCATGCGTGTATTAACATTCTATGCATATGAATGAACAGAATAAGACTACATCATTAAATTTCACTGGTTTCCCGACAACCCTATAAAATTTTCAGTATCTGTACGGTGTACGGCGTACTTGCAACCATAACATGATGCCAGTAACTTACTTACTTTACTTCGGCTATCTCCTACGGGAGGATGAGCCGGCTTCATGAACGTCTCGAATCATCGCTGCCCAGGCGCGGCGATCTGAAGCAAGGTTTTGCGATAGGGATATCCAATTCTTGTTCCACATACGGAGTCCGTAGACGGTTTGTAGCCCCAGGCACTCCATATCTGCCTTGACTGTACCAAGCCATGTCTTCAGCTGTCCCCCCTGCGACATCGCCAAGATGGTAATGGCGAGGGATTTAGAACTGATTTGACCAGATCGTCATCTGGTCGGCGCAGAACATGGCCAAACCACCGAAGGCGGCGTTGTTGGACCAGTACTGGAATTTGGTTGATGTTGTAGCAACGACGACGCACTTCTTCGTTGGAGAGTTTGTCCTGCCAACGAACATGCAGAATGTACCTGAGGCACCAATGGTCTCTACCTCGAGTCTGCGTAAATCTTCCGCGCGAAGAGGCCAGGTTTCACAGCCATACAGCAGAACGGGTCGTATGGAAGCTTGGTAGACCCGAATTTTAGTCCTGAGACTGATTTCTCTCTTGCTCCATAGAACGCTCCTCAGCTGTAGAAACGCATTCCGGGCGTTGGAGATTCGCGCATTCACTTCGTTTTTCGCTTGGCCGTTGGGGAGCATTATGGATCCCAGATATCTGAAGGATGGCACAATTTCAATAGGTGCTCCATTTAGGGATAAGATTTCATCATTGCTGGTGGATGTGTTCGAAAACATTTTGGTTTTGGAAGTGTTAATTTTCAAACCGATAGTAGGCGCGAGGTGGTTTATCTGGTCGAGCGCCTGTTGCATATCGGGGAAGTTTTCAGCTAACAGCACGACGTCGTCGGCGAATTCGAGGTCGGTTATGTGAATATCGGGCGAAAGTTGGACGCCGTGGTGCTCGGTTAGGGCGTGCCGCAAAATCCAATCAACTGTGAAATTGAACAGGATGGGGGATGCTGGACAACCTTGCCGGACACCGCTGGTTACCTCAAAAGTGCGGACTCTTCACCGTTCACTCGGACTCGAGCTTTGGTGTTGGAGTAGTATGACCTGAGCAGGTTGATTAGCTTGGTCGGAACTCCGTCGAGCTCCATTAGATACCAGAGTGCTCCTCGATCAACTGAGTCGAATGCCGCTTGGAAGTCGATGAAGCAAGCAACCGTCGGCTGTTGGAATTTGTCCCTGTGTTCCAAAATTCTTCGCAGTGTGAATAATTGATCAACACAGCCTCTTCCAGGTCGAAATCCGGCTTGATTTGGCCTTGTTCGCACGTGGCGTTCGGCCGCGAAGCGGTTCAGGAGAATGGAAACAAAAACCTTAGCAGCGATATCAATCAGACTTATGCCTCGGTAGTTCTCGCATATTGACCTGTCTCCCTTTTTGTGGAACGGTAGCAGAACTGAGGTGCTCCAATCGGAAGGAATGGTTTCGGACTCCCAAATTGAGCAGAACAGCGAGTGCAGTGCATCGATTAGCGCTGGAGTGCAGGCCTTGTATATTTCTGGGGTAGACCATCTTCGCCCGGAGCTTTTTTGTTTCTGAGTCTGTTAATTGTTTTAGCTATTTCGGTTGGAGTGGGTGGATCGCAGTCAACTACGTAGGGTGTTGGTAAGTGTCGTATCGGTCGATGAGACGGTTGACCAGCGTTGCGATTGAGTAGCTGCTTGAAATGTTCGGCCCATCGTTCCATCTTACCATTGGTGTCCGAAATAATTTCTCCTGATGCTGTGCGTAACACAGCATGACTGTTAAGGCGTTTGCCAGATGATTGGCGTAAGAGGCGATAAAGTTTTCCGAAATCGCCTACATTTGATGCTGCTTCCATGTTAGTCGCCACGTTAGACCAATAGCGATTTCTGTCGTTCCTAGCAGACTGTGTAGCTTTGCGCCTGAGGGAGCGATAAACTGGAGACTTTGCTAGGCGAGCGTCTCTGGCTTGCGAGGATAGAAGCATGGTGTGCTCTGAAATCCAGTCTTTCTGCTTCTTGGATGTGGTACCCAAATGCGACATTGAAGCTTTAGAGACTACTTCTTTGAAATGATTCCATCGTGTCTCGGTGTATTAGAAGATGTGGATGTTGGTTCATCTGCGGCGCTTAGTTCGGCCTGGATTTGTTTGGACAAGGCTTGTCGCTTTGTCGAACATTGAAGCGGGGCAACATTGATACGCTTCGGAGGTCGCGCCTTCTGGCGTGTCGTTAAACGAAGTTTGAATTTCGCCCTAACTAGAGTATGGTCTGATCCCCCTTTATTTCCGGCCTCTGCTCCACGATAGGATCGACAGTCTTCCACCGAGGAGATCCAGCGTGAGCGCACTAGGATGTAGTCGATCTGATGTGCAGTGCGACCGTCGTTCGAATACCAGGTGAGAAGATGTTTTCTGGGTGTTGAAATCGAGTGTTGGTGATATATAATCGATTGTAATCAGAAAAAGCTAAAAGTCTATCACCATTACGGCAGCGCTGATCGAGACCGTGTTTGCCTAGTATATGTTTTGTCGCGTCGTCTGAAGGGCCAGTGCGGGCGTTCCAATCGCCGGCTACTATGAGAACGTCACGCTTTGGGATTTTGTTGATTGCCTCTTGAAGATTGTCATAAAATTCGTCTTTGATACTTTCATCAGAGTCGAGGGTTGGGGCATAGACAGCGAGAACAGAAATGTCGAGCGGGGAACCCTTGAACCTAGCGACTGCAACTCTGGAGTTGACCGGTTCGAATGATATTAGGGCATTATTGGCTTTGTTACTGAGAGCAAATGCTACCCCATGTTGTCCCGAATTATTCTGGGGTCCACTATGAAGCAACCAGAATGAAGAATCTGTTCCAGGTACGGCTATTCGGCGGGAGCCATGATCGGGTAACCTCACTTCAGATAGACACGCTATGTCCACCTTGTAGTCGTATAAAGAACGCATGGTGATAGACTGGCTACCAGGATCCAACAGCGTCCTAACATTCCAGCAGCCAACAAATAGTTGGTTTCTAAGTGTTAATTTCCCAGCTAGCTTACTTTTCACACTGGCCACCGGGTGAGCACAGGGCGCGTCGCTTACCGGGAACGCCGTAGCATGGTGAGAGTTGTTTGTAGAGAGTTCATGAAGTTTCATGGGAATTTGGTACGAGTGATGTCCCCAGCATCGCTCGGCCTTTTGTTTGAGAGTGCAGCTCTAGCCTTTACACAGCCAAGTGTGACCTACAAGGCAGTAGGAGTGGAGTAAGGAGTCCACTATCCATTGGCAGCCGGTGACCGGAGTTCGGTTCATACGCCTTTTTGAATGGGGCCAGACATCCAGGACATCCAACAAGCCCTTTGTCCATACGTCTGCCGGTGAGCTCCAGTGAGCTTCATACGCCAGTCGTTGGAGGTTTGGAATCAGGGTTTAGCCATCTCCCCTAGACTGTCATCCAATGGACAGTCAACCCGGTGAAGAGCGCCGGGCATCCGCTTTCGCCCTCTCACTTTGGTGAGAATGCCAGTAAACGAAATGCGTTCCCCCTTTGTTCTGGAAGGAAGCCATTGCACCTAAAAGCTCACAAGAACTCATAGGATCTCTAAACATTAAAACATCAAGTGCAGGCAACTATGATATTAGTAGCAGTGAATTCGAGTGACCTTGCATAGGTGTCTCTGAAACACGTTACACATCCATGATGATGGATGTTCAGATTTTGGCCAATGAAACGTGTTTTCTTGATACGGCACGAAGAACCGACACTAAAATCTCCAACATACATCTGACAGAGAAGCAAAAAATTGAAGGAATTACAGAGGCACAGATGGTAGAAATACACGAAAATGAAAGAGAAAAGATGGGTTGGAACTTAGTTGCATGACGGTCAAAGTAACTTATGCACTGTTAAAAATAAGCGGATAACTGTTCCATGCTGGTAGTTAACAATAAAAAAAACTTCTTTAGCAAAGTGTAAATTTCCCCTGGAGTCTCACAGAAATGACAGCAAATATGTAGTCACGTAGGTCATGAAACAGAAATACGCCTTAACGTTGAAAATACCCGGTGTCTTGAAACATTCAGCACAATATACAATTCCTTATCATTACTTATGTCAATGATAATGTGGCAAACCTAGG